ATGGAAGCTTCAGAAATGACAGTTCCGAATCTATTTATAGGATCAACTGATGATACAGATTCACCAAAACCAATTTCTTTACGCTCACTTTGCCGATTAGGACGACCTCTAGTTCTCCTTGCTGGCTCTCATACCTGCCCTTTATATAGATATATATCTCATGTGCTTAATGATGTGTATGATCGATATCGATCTCGAGCAGATTTTTATATGATACAAATTAGAGAAGCACATGCTAGTGATGTTTGGCCGATTGGTAATATTGTAGATGTTAAAGAGCATAAAACATTAGCTGATCGTTTAACCGCAGCGGACGAAATGGTTAAAGCAACAAAGTTAAAAATTCCAGTCTTGGCAGATACAATGGATAATATCTTTTTAAATTTATACTGTCCTTGGCCGTTTCGCTTTTTCATCGCTGTGGATGGTATTTTAAAACTTGTTGGGATGCCAAAAGAGGCTCATTACGATACAACTGATTTAGTTAAGTGTTTAGAAACTCTCTTAAAATAACAAAAAAAAACACCCCGAATGATATTAAAGCATTAGAATCTACACAGACATTATGATCTTTAAATCTTAATTGTATTTTTTTTAGTTCGTTTTTATTTGTTTTACCGTTTTTATGTTATGTATCAGTTGTTATCATTTATTATTGCTTATAAATAAAGAGTGATGATTTACGTAGACGTAGGGATGGGATCGGTCAGTTACGGTCGGTTTTTACCTGCTAACCGGATAACCGCGGCTAAATAACTGGCTATAGCTGATCAATTATTTAATTAATTACAGTACTTCATCAAATATCTAAATAATTGAAAACCCAATGGTATGTTGGTTTAATAATTTCACCACTACTGGTGAAATTAGTGTTTGAATTGGTTAAATTGTTAATTTCATCAGTATCTCTAGTTGTGACCCAAGAATTTAGATTTCTATATTATTTGGGATAATATTAAGAAAACAGGTATGTTGGATAAAAATAACAAATTAGACCTAATGGTTATAATAAGACTACAGTGTTTTATTTTCAGATCGTTAATAGTTGCTACATACTAAAGTCAAATTTTATAATGCAAAAGTTGTTAAGCTCTGTAAGTTTTACTTAAATCGAATAACTTTTTATTAATGCATATTTGCGTATCACAATTAGGAGAAAAGATTTTTTAATATTTGCTTCGTACAACGTAGATATGCACAAATATATTAATAAAAAGTTATTCAATTTATATGAATCTTTTAGAATATAGAATTATACTATGGAAAAAAGGTCAGGTACGAAAGAATCTACTCTTTCAGTGCCTTTTGTAAGTTGCTTCGTCCTTTTATTAAATGATTGTACGTATTAGTGTATCTCATACTAACCTAAACCAGTAATTCATTAAATTCGTTTACTTACCTGTCCTTTGCGCCAATTTCATCCATGAGTTGCATATGTCAGATATTCCCGTTGGTACCGAGTTTTCTTCCATTAACATGTTATTGTTGTGCGCTGGTGCATTTCTGCTTTGACTGCCTTTTGATCTGTATTCAACTCGAATAATTTTGGATGCCGCGAAGCAATACCTAATTGCAGTAATTAAAATTTTGTCAATAAATATTGTCCTACCGCTACCAAAATTAGGTATGTATACAATTAATGAAAAAAAATCATCTATTGCCAAAATTTTACCAGATTTAAAATTGTTTTGTTTTAGATCTGGCCAAATGATCTGCAAATTTGACCAGAATTATGAACTATGGGTTCCTCTATTTGTTGGACATATGGACGAAAATCTCCAGTTGAAATACAGTGATTATTAAAAATTAGGTGATATTATAATCATGTACATATAACAAAAATTTATAAGTAATTAGGTTACAATC